ACTCCAGGTGAGGCCTCACCAGGGCTGAATAGAGGGGCAGGATCACCTCCTCCACCTGCTGGCACCACTCTGCCTAATGCACCCTAGGAGACCATTGGCCTTCTTGGCCACAAGGGCACACTGCTGGCTCATGTTTAACTTGTTGTCCACCAGCACTCCCAGGTCCTTCTCGGCAGAGCTACTTTCCAACAGGTCAGTCCCCAGCCTGTACTGGTGCATGGGATTATTCCTGCCTAGGTGCAGGACCTTGCACTTGCCTTGGTTGAACTTCATGAGGTTCCTCTCCGCCCACCTCTCCAGCCTGTCCAGGTCCCTCTGAATGGCAGCACAGCCTTCTGGTGTGTTAGCCTCTCCCCCCAGTTTAGTATCATCAGCAAACTTGCTGAGGGTGCACTCTGTCCCTTCCTCCAGGTCAGTGATGAATATATTGAACAAGACTGGGCCCAGGACTGACCCCTGGGGGACACCACTAGCCACAGGCCTCCAACTTGACTCTGCGCCATTCACCACAACCCTCTGCGCTCGGCCATCCAGCCGGTTCTCAAGCCAACCCGTGCCCCTTTAACGAATTTTGACAACCCGTGCCCCTTTAACCAATGCAAAAATGAGATCCTTGCTGTGCTTCTGTAAAAAGAAGACGACAAGAAACAGCCAGTCTGCACTGACCTCTTCACCTCTATTAACACCAACTCCATATGAAAGCTGTAAGTAGCTCTGTCTTATACGAGAAGGTGGAGGTTTCGAGCTCGGAATACAAGCTGCACACTTTGTTTTCTGATTTTGCACCTGACTTATTTACTTGGGCCTAATGAAATCATCCAGAATATTTTTTTTAACTGTATTACATTGTGCTCTACAAGGGCAGAAAAAGTAGGCCACGTTCCTCTCCTTTGCTCAGTCGTCATTCTTAACAGGAAAGACAATAGATTAGCCCTAGTGTGCATGGCAGAATCTATCCCCAGAAAACTGGTCCTCTCCCTAGTAGCACTAAAAGCAACTGATAAATCTACCAGGTAAAGAAAGAAGTGTGGTCTAGTGGTTACAGACCAACCTCCAACCCATAAATCATGAGTTTTTTTGCTAGTTCTCCTTCAGCAGCCCTCAACAAATCATTTCATCTCTCTCTACCTGTTTTCTTCCCAGTCTTTCTCTTGTTCTAGACTGTAAAGCCTTCAAAGTCAGGAAGCTTTCTCACTTTATGTTTCCTGTAGCACCTACCATAGCTAACAGGATCCCCCTATTTGGTTAAGCAGTATAGTATTGCTACAATAATTAATACTAATATGAAAAGGACTGATAATCTTTCTTGAATATAATTTTTAAAAGATTTTACCTGTGCTGAAATACACCTGCTTACATCATGATTTTTTAACATTATTAACATTGTTTTATTATTTGCTGACAGTGCACTAATCGCTATGAGAGGCAGAAGACAACCTGGAAACAGATCTGAACCCTGCTCCTTTTGATATGATTGACAAGGAACTTCATATGGTAAATGCTCAAGAAATAGAGCACAAAGATGGAAAGAATATGGTTAAAAAATTTTTTAAGTTATTAAAAATTATTCAAGGGGGGTAAATAATGCCATTTCCATATGTTCTCAATATCTTTTTCACTTTAAACATCTGTTTGAGGATTACATTACACCTGTAGATTTCATTTTGCTAGAGGCATTAGCAGACGCCAAAAATGCACTTTAAACAAACTGGCTCAGTAGAACTGGGAGGTACTAAAGCACCTTTAAAAGAATCCTGAGAGATTTTGAGGAAATCATTTATCATATGACCTGAATAATGCAGTTCTTCTGGCACAACCACACATGTTTCTGATTGTCTTTTTTGTTGCTATTTATGGATGAGATATGGTTTATCCACTATATGCACACAATTTAAACAGTAGGGGCAAATGTTTCTGAAAGCCTGGAGAGCTAAAATACTGTGCTCTTAATTCGGATACCTGTAGGACATCATTCCTGAGAGCTTCAGAGGCACCCACCTGTCTCTACTGCTTATATAGACAATTTTGACAACTCCTTCAGCAGGCCAAAGTTAGATGGTTAAACTGGGTGGGTGGGACACCACTCTGTGATTTTGTATTATTTGCATGCTTTCTAGATATGTTCAGAGTTCCACCATGCTCAGCACTGTATATTCAAAAGGGAGATCAAATCTCAGGCCCTAAAAGTCTGCAGTTAAAATAGAGATAGAGAAATGATAGGAGGGAGACGGAGGTGGGGAAAGATTACATGAATTTGAATAACAAGTTAGATGTAGGGCTGGAAAGAGAAATCACACATCGCAAGTCTCAGCCCAGTAGTTGGGTCTGTAGACCGCACTGCTAGCAACACCATATTAACACACAAAAAATGGGAGAGATGAGAACCTGGTAATGGAAGTGAAAGATCTGGAATGAGACCTCTACCATGGCAATCCCAGAGACAGACTCACTTTGGGAACGAGAAGGAGAAGCGTACATCCTAGGCTGACTGGACAGTAGAACAGGGCAGAGGAGAGCACCAAACTGCCATCCTGTCCAAGACACTGAAATGCTTCACTTTTTGCTTTGGTTTCTTATATTTTATGATAAACCTCATTTCCAACTACATCATATGCAGAAAATATATGATAAGCCTTATTGTTAATAACTTCTTAGCCTCATCCTCTTCTCTTTTTACTGTAGAAAAGCCACTTTCTTTACAACAGAAGAAAAAAACATATCTGATGCTCTCAGTTATCTAGGAGCAATCTGCATCACTGATTGGATTATGTACTAACAGCATTACTTATCCCCATCTGAGAGGTACCCTACAGGGAAAAGCTCCAAAGAAAGACACTGCATTAAGGGAAGATTTGGAAGTCTGATTGCATTCTGTTTCCATCTCTCTGCAGGGCTGACTGTCAACGGCATTCAGAGCAGCACAGCAGAAAAGGAAAAACAGCTCCCTTTCTTTAGCACTGTGAGTCATCAGTGATTGAAAGCATCTTTACCTCAGTTTAAGGTCTGGCCAGGGCACGTGATCCAGAGTTCACTGAGAATTTGCATTGGCTTTATACAGTTTCAGATAAGTTCTGTATTTTTCAGTTAGAAATTGATTATTTTACAGAGTCATGAAAGTGAAGGAATAAAGTGTGTAAATCTTAGAGTGAAGATGCAGTTCATAACTATAAACATTCTCTCGAGCAGTGAATCTGGATCCAGATGGTATACAATATTAAACTGCAGAATCTGGATCCAGATGGTATACAGTATTAAACCAGTGATATCTCTCTAAGCACATTTAAAAATAATTAATATTACCATGGATTTCCTCCAGACTTCTTCCTAATAATGAATATGGAGCAGCATGTCCCCTTAGGAGGAGAAAATTGCAAAGGTTTCCATGTTAACCACTAAGTAACCTATTCACTTTTATCATCACTGATCCAGTGGCTTGAGTTTAAGCGCTGGAGAGATCAGCAGATCTTAATAGTTTCCCACAAATCAACTTCATTGGACAATTTCTCAAATGTGAGATAGCTTCTCAAATGACCCCAAAAATTTGTGTTACAGTGCCTGTCATAACTCTCTGGAAGAACCTCCTAAAGCCAGAAACGTAGATAGCTTACATCACTTAAAATAGACACAGTCATGTAGAAATGCACATAAACATGTAGAAACATGCTGTGTTACAGATGAATTTCAAAAGTTTTGACATACACAGTCCTATAATCTGGAATAGATGAAAATCTCCACATTGGAAAGTTTCTGACTTTTCTCCGAGGTTATAGAGTTACAGATGGAATACCTATGTGTATATATATATATGTGTGTGTGTGTGTGTGTGTGTGTGTGTTTGTGTGTGTGTGTATTTTAAGTCTGAACATAGGGTTGCAAGACTGGAAAACTACCCAGTATTGAAATTCAGACCTGACCTATCTGAAATAATTTTTTACCTGCATGAACTGGAAATCAGTGAATTACTTGCAAAAGATAGGAGCAATTTTAAAATCTTCAGTCTTTTTATATCACATGTTAGAGAGCAGCAGCTGGATGGAAAATCAAGAAGTTAAAAACAAGATTTTTTTCAACAGAAATTATTGTTCTTCGTGAAATAGGGAGTTGGTATCTATTTTAATATTTGAGGGTCAGAACCTCCACAAATATCAAATAATCTAACTCCAGTAAAGCAAATACGCAGCAACTGAATATTTGCCCTTGGGATTTTATATGCATCCTTTGTTTATTGTTTTCCTTTATGTGAAATCAAATTAGCATAGATTACTTTTTGCCCTTTCTGTATGAAAAAATGTGTAGTGTTTTCAGTTGTCAAGCACTGGTACTTGTCTTCAGTTTTCGTTCAAGTGTTTTAATGTTTAAAAAGTTCTAACGTCCTAAGGGACTATGGAATCAGACTTTTGCTCAATTTGGTCAACATCTTTCTACGTATACACAAATTAAGGTCTTCCTGGTACTGAGTCACAATTACTTCATCTGTGCTGGAGTTTTTCTCATCAGCATATTTCCAAGTTTTTCTGTCATTCAAGGTTGATACAATATAATTTAATAATATTCAAGTATGATATATTTTTAAATTACTTTGTATCATTGTTTAGCCTTATAGACAATTTATTAGGTTTTGATTTTAATTCTAAAAGATTGAGTTTTAATGTTAACTCTGCTACTTACTTGCTTTTGACTCTGGGCAAGTGACTTCATCACAATCTTTTCTAATTGCTCTGTTTCGAATGAGGACTGCTGAACGTCTCCAACAGCTTCTTGTGTCACTGCAGCCAAACAATAATTGCAAACAAACAACACTGTGTTATGAAAATACCTTATAAAAACAGAAGTGAGAATTTATATCGTGCAGTTTTAAATATCTGGACATTTGACAAATGTTTCCCTTGCCTCTGCAGCCTTTAGAAACCTTCAGCTTTGCAAATGGATTTACTAGGCTAGAATGTGTTTCAAAGGCAAAAATAAACAACCCAGCAAACAAAAAATCCTACTTCACATAGATTAAGATGTGATAAGGTAATATTCCTAGGATGTTAGATATGTTAACTGTCTACTGAAAAGGTATTGATAGTCTTGAAGCAACTTCTCCCAGAGTCATCTAAAGATTTCAAAACAATGAAGACAAGTGCTACGTATATTTTGAATTCATCTGGATTGTGCTAGTGATGATAGCAGATGATCTTGCTTCCAATGTCAGAATTAAAACCAATCGGATAAAATTGAAAAAAATATAAAGAACCGAATGCCTTTGCATCTACTTCTTGTCCTTCACCCTAGTGTGTCTCACTGATGAACAATATAATCTTGAAAAAAAAAATCAGCGTTCTTTATTCAAAAACTTTTTTCCTTTTAAGATACAGATCCTTTATAGCATGTGATGGGGTTATTGCAGACTTCAGCTGCATGGGAATAGGTACTATGTTTTCATACTGGTTTATCATGACTTGCATTTCTTTAACTACACCTTCAAATACTCCTAATTTACTTCCTTGCTTTCCCACAAGCAAATAGGGATGTTGGATGAGCTTGAGGGAAGAACACTGGGTTATGAGTAGCTTAGCTGGAAAGCAGTGCTTGTGGTGCTAATACACATATCCTGCACTGTGCATGGCACTACTTGTAAACATTCGGTCCTGCCTACCTTGCTGCCTTTCTAAAACTTCCCCTTTGATGTCTGAAAGAATGGGCTTTAAGGCAGCATTTGTACTGTAATGTGCCTGAACTAGCTGGCTTATCTGCTTACCTTTGATTGAGTTGTTTAGAGCAAGCACTTTTCTTTTCAGTTGTTTGTAAAGCATATACTCTAGGGGTGCACCTTCCTCTGCTTTTCCTGATGTGGCATCTAAGACTTCACCTTTCTAGTTAATGTCATGTGAGGGGAAAAAAGGACCAGAAGAAGAGTCACGTGCAAGATAGGACAGCATCTGTCTGGTCACTCAGTGGAGAAAGGGCCATGGTGCTGCTCTGCATATCCCAGCTGCTACGGCAGATTTGTTGAGCAAGGGAGAAGGCACAGATCAGACTGAGTGGAGCATCCTGCTATGGAAGAGATGCAGCAGTGCCGGTCTGCGAATGCATGGGATGTAGGCACCGCCTGTGATAAGGGAACAGGAATGGGAGCCAAAAGAACGAGTCTCAGATACACTGCAAGAAGCTGCAGCAGGTCCCAGCCAACATGCGCTGCCAGTTCAGACCCTGCTGTAAATTTCCTGGGCCAAATAGAAGTGTCAGGGGCCCAGACCATAGTCCATAAAAGAGGATATACAGCGGGGAGCCTTTAGGGTCTTTCTGTTATTGCAATTGATATGAACACGCTGGTGTTAGCATCGGCCTCTGGCTAGATGAATTGCATGAGTCTTTTCAAACTCATGGCAGTAACTAGGAGGACAGGAGATTTCTGCTTGCTCTTCTGGCTCCTCTGGGAACCAGACAGATCATCCCAGAGGCAAGAGATCTCTTCCATTCATTACTCCTATGTGAATACTGCCAATAATATATCCAGCATGTCTAAGCTTCAATCAGGCTTCACAATCCTATATTTCACTCATCCAGCACTACTCATTCAACAGCAGCCATTATCCAGCTCATTAGCGAGTGCCACATTTTAGCATAAACAGGACCTATAAGCATTTGGTCCAACCAGTTAAAACCCCCATATAATCTCCTGCCCTGTTTTTAAGGTTTAGGCATCACTCAGATGTAAGCCTTGGCAAGAGAGAAAACTGAGCTTTTTCTTTTAACTACACAGCTCAGTGTAGGTCACTCATTTCTGAAACCCGTAAAAGCTCACCATTCTTGGAAGTTTAACACTGGAATTAGCATAGTCATTAGATCCCCTCATTATTAAAGTCATTTGCATGAGACACAATAGCAGTTTGCTCCTCCTGATTACCCACTAATGTACTCATGTAATGCAATGAATACAAAAGATTTGCCTTCATCTTCTTTTTTTATTTAAGCCCAACAGTTTTATCCTTTTAGTTCAGATTTTGTCAAACAATTTAATTCTGTTCCTACTGACGATAAGAGCAGGAGCACAGTTATGTTCCCATTAGTAATGTCCTCAGCTTCTCTTACCCACCCAATTCTTCCATGGTAGTCATTGACGTTGTTCCACCAGAGTGGAATGACAGGGGTATATTTCAGCTGAGGATCCACCCTACCTAATGCACTTGAAGTGCTAAGAAGTGATGTTAAAGAACAGAGAGCACATTTTAATTCACATTGTAAATTCTCTAAAGAATGACATTCTCAGTGTAGCATTCATTTGTATTAGAAAAGGGCTCTGATTTAATCAAGCCATATCTAAATCCCTACCTGAATCTTGCATCTAATTACGCTTTAAAAGAAATCTTTGGATTCCCCCTACTTCGCTGCCAGTTAGTATTCAGACAGCAAATAATGACCTTAAGTAGTAGTAGGTGTTCAAACCCTTTCTGAACTTGAAGCAGTAGAAACAGAGCAAATCAGACTCTCTGTGGCGGAGCTCTGATGTGTGCAGCGGCTCAAGCGGAAGTCTGAGTAAGGGATTGTTTCTGTCTCCTTGATCTGCAGAGCATGGCACATGCAGGAACACCTATTCTCTCCACGTTTGTCTGATTTTAACTGGACATATAATGAAATGACACATCAGAGAAATGTCATAAAGCATTGTCCATAGTGGTTTTGCACCTATGCCAACTGTAGCAAATCATATCCCATCAGAGACATCACGGACAGCAAAGAAGGTGGCAACAAGTGTCATGAGCTAAAGATTTCAGCACAGAACATTCAGAGCTTGAACTTAAGCCCACTGCAGCCCAGCACATCATAGCAAAGGGTTTTGGACTGGCCTGTTGAATGCAGACTTCAGTGTAAGAATTCTCCTTTCATCTGGTCCCATTCTTTTCTCCGCTAACAATAGCCTAAGAGAAGAAGTACATTCTCAAGTATACAAGACCATGTGCTACAGCTACTTCCAGCTAGGAAAGAATATATTATAAGCAAGCATTTTAGAACCACAACATTTATCTTCTCCATCATAGCAGGTATTGCCATTTTTAGATTCACCCTAGCCATAGCAGAATCACAGAATCACAGAATCACAGAATCACAGAATCACAGAATGGGAAGGGACCTCTGGAGATCATCTAGTCCAACCCCCCTGCTCAAGCACTGCCATCTAGAGTACATTGCCCAGGATCACATCCAGACGGCTTTTGAATATCTCCAGCGAAGGGCACTCCACAACCTCTCTGGGCAACATGTTCCAATGCTCTGTCACCCTCACAGGAAAGAAGATTTCCTCATGTTCAGACTAAACTTCCTAGGGTTCAGTTTGTGCCCATTGCCTCTTGTCCTGTCACTGGGAACCACGGAGAAGAGTCTGGCCTCATCCTCCTAACACCCTCCCTTCAGATACTTGTACGCATTGATGAGATCGCCTCTCCGTCTTGTCTTCTCCAGAATGAACAGGCCCAGCTCCCTCAGCCTGTCTTCATAGGAGAGATGCTCCAGTCCCCTCATCATCTCTGTAGCCCTGCACTGGACTCTCTGCAGTACCGCCATGTCTCTCTTGTACTGCGGAGCCCAGAACTGGACACAGTACTCCAGGTTGGGTCTCCCCAGGGCTGAGGGGCAGGATCACCTCCCTCCACCTGCTGGCAACGCTCTGCCTAATGCACCCCAGCATACCATTGGCCTTCTTGGCC